GTAATTAATTTTTATACGGTTGTATTTCTTAGGTCAACAATAAAAATTTGTTGTTGAAATCATAAGTTTACTTTCTTAAAAGAATTCTATTAGGTCAGAATATTAACAATATCCATATAATTAATATGAGACTTTTGTCAGTATGTTGCACAGAATTCAAAATTGCTATTATATTTTATTAATTAATGATCAAAAAATGAAAAACTCAAATTTCATTCTGATGACTAAATTGTAATAAAAAATACTAAAATTAACCCTGTATAAAATTTAAGTAAAATTAATGACAATAATTATTTCAAAAGATAAATTTTGAATTTTAAAAATTTTGAAAATATATAGCACTAGCTGTCATGTCGTACCCGTCTTCGACGGGTTTTAGTTTCTAGTTCTACCAATACATTTAACAATGTTTCTACCAATCTGCGGAAAATCAAAAATACCCGGGATAAATTAATTAATAATTAATAATTAGTTAATTAATAATAATTAATAATTAGTTAATAATTAATTAATTAATAATTAGTTACCATTAGCTATTTCGGTAGTATAATTATACTATTTGAATAGTCTCCACCCTTTAGCAAAAAATAAAAAATTATCAAAAATTCGAGAAACCGAATTTCTTAAAATTTAACATTTTTTTCTTCTCTTTTATATCATTAAGCTTCATTATTTTTGTACTCTTCAAAAATACTTTACTTATATTTAATAGTCTCCACCCTTTGGTAAAAAATCTAAAATTATGGAAAATTAGCAAAAATTCATAAAACCGAATTTATTAAAATTCAACATTTTTTCTTCTCTTTTATGGCTTTTGGCTTCATTATTTTTGTGCTCTTAAAAAATACTTTACTTATTCAATAGTCTCCACCCTTCGGTAAAAAATCTAAAATTATGGAAAATTATCAAAAATTCAAAAAACCGAATTTCTTAAAATTCAACATTTTTCCTTCTTTTTTATAGCATTTAGCTTTATTATTTTTGTGCTCTTAAAAAATACTTTACCTAATTTGTTATCTCCACCCTTCGGTAAAAAATCTAAAATTATGGAAAATTAGCAAAAATTCAAAAAACCGAATTTCTTAAAATTCAACATTTTTTCTTCTTTTTTATGGCATTTAGCTAATTATTTTTGTTTAATGTAGCAAATGTTTTACTTTACATACTGATCTTTAAATAAAAAACTTTAATAACTTTTCCTGAAAAGCTTGCTTAAAGATTAAAAATCACTATTTTCTTAGAAAAAAGTTGATCTAAAAAAACGAAAAAAAATTTCAAAATACATCTTTTTTAAAAATTTTATCGTAGAAATGGGTTGTATTTATCTGAAAAAGTTAGCTAAGGATAGTTTTTTCATTCATTTTACAAAAGATAAAAAATTTGCATTTTTTTGTTTTTTTGAATTTTTTGGAAAAATGTCATAACTTTTGTTCAAGTTAATATTTTTTAATCGGATAAGGCTATGATTGTAAGTTACTTTAATACCTAATAGACTGCCAAATTTCACTTTAATTGGTTGAACCGTTTTCAATTGATGCGCGAACAAAGTTTTGCATACAGACAGAGACAGACAGACAGAAATTTTTTTTACATTTTTAGAATTCTAATGTCTCAAAACGAAAAAATATATAAAAATTTTCAAGTTTGGAGCAATGTACAGATAGTAATCTGATTTTATTAATATAGATAATGTTCGTTCACATTAATAACTTTTAGTTTACTATAGCTACACTAAAAAAAGTTATATGATTCAAGTAATTATAATTATTTGAAAAATAATATCTTATTTAAAAAGTTTTTATTTCGATCTAATAAGAATTTATTTCGTTTAAATAATTTTATTTAGTTGAATCAAATAAATCTTAATTGGATTAATTAAATAAATACTTGACTCTAATAAATAAATTTATTTAACACAAATCATTTCAAAATTTTATATTTTTTCATGGATTGCTTCTAAACTTTCTATAGTTGAGTATTACATGTTATTTAGTCACATTTTAGCATAATTTTTCAAAAATACTTTCTTATAACGAAGATGTAAGTATAAAAATGTTTTGAATATCAAAAAATTGAAAAAATTATAATTGATACCAATTGCTATGAAGCTTAATTCAGTAGTATTTGTGGGCTCTCTGATTTAACTTTTAGAGATATCTTGATCAATGTAAAGACAAAAGTTAAACACGGTGTTTATTTTGGTTTAAAACAATTTCCGGCTTTGTCCAAATTTTTCCTGGTTTACTGGACGGGTTTTTTTTAATAATACATTTAACAGGGTGTTTACCAACCAGAAAAGACGTAAAATATCAGGGAATTTAATGTAACCGAGAAAAACTGGATCTACTTGCTATACAATTAGTTCGAATTAGACTGTACTATAACTCAAAAAACTGGAGGAAATTTTAGATTTATTTTAATACATTATATTGATTGAAGTACTACAAATTGAGAAATATTGTTTTCTGCATTTGAATTAGTTAAAAATAACTAATTTGATAATAAAAAGTCGGTCACTGTTTCAAATGGTATTATTTTCCTAATGAAATAGACAATAGTAACTAATTATTATTTTTTCCCTGTCAAATCAAATTCCCGGCTATTTTCCGGTTTTCTAGGTTGGTAGATACACTGTTAAGTGCATTATCAGAAACTACAACCCGTCGAAGACGGGTACGACAGCTAGTTTTCTATAATTATAATAAATACTTCAAAACAATTCAATTATTTTTATAAACAGTAAAATTCTTTGCAAAAATTAAATTATTTTTAAACAATTTTAATAAATTTTCTCGTGAGAATTCAATTATTTCTTTACATAGTAAATACTTTGCAAATATTCATTATTTTCAATAAAATTTCATGAAAGAATTGAATTTTTTTTTAATTTCGAAAATAATTCAATTATTTTCTAAAATTTCACTAAATCCTTCGAAACAATTCAATTTTTCTTATAAATAGGAAAATTCAATTATTTTCATAAAAAATTTGATAAAATTTCTCGACAGATTTTAATTTTTTTCTAAAATTTTTATAAATCCTTCAAAAAAATTCAATTATTTCTTTACATAATAAAATTTTTGCAAAAATTAATTATTTTCAATAAAATTTTACGAAAGAATTCAATTATTTTCTATAATTTATAATAAATACTTCTAAACAATTCAATTATTTTTATAAATAGTAAAATTCTTTGCAAATATTTATTATTTTCAATAAAATTTTATGAAAGAATTGAATTTTTTTCTTAATTTCCAAAATAATTCAATTATTTTCTAAAATTTTAATAAATCCTTCGAAACAATTCAATTATTTCTTTAAATAATAAAATTTTTGCAAAAATTAATTATTTTCAATAAAATTTTACGAAAGAAAAAATTTAATTTTTTTTTATAAATAGTAAAATTCTTTGCAAAAATTCAATTGTTTTCATAAAAAATTTGATCAAATTTATTCAAATTCTTTAAAACGATGCAATTAAATTCAAAAAATATTCGAAATTCAATTATTTTCAATATCTACTATTTTCATAAAATTTCGCAAAAGAATTCAATTATTTAAAAAAAAAATTGATATAATTCATCCAAAATTTAATTATTTTCATAAATAATAAAATTCTTCTCAGAAATTCAATTATTTTTTTTTTAAATTGATAAATTCTTTCATTAATTTTCCACGAGAGTTCAATTATTTAAAAAGAATTAAATAAAATTCTTCGCAAGAATTCAATTATTTTCATAAATAATAAAATTCAATTATTTTTTCAAAAATTGAACAATTCTTGAATTCTTAGAAATCAAAAAACTATTCTCAAAAATTATAATCAAATTCTTTAAAACGATTCAATTATTTTCAAAAAGTATTCGAAATTCAATTAATTATTTTCAATATCTAGTATTTTCACAAAAAATTTCGCAAAAGAATTCAATTATTTAAAAAAAAATTGATAAAATTAATCCAAAATTCATTTATTTTTATAAATAATAAGATTTTTAGTTTGATCTACTTTAGTATCAATTTGATATTTTCAAAAAAAAATAATAAAAAAAAAATTGCAGTGCGTCATTTGCAGTCAAACTCAAAGGTTATTCTTTTCGCACCATAGCAAAAGAGGTATATTTCCCATAATGAAAAAAGAAAACAAAGAACAGAACCTAATGAGTGGCAATTATTTTGTTATAAGTATTAAGAGAAACTGGGAAAAAAAACCAGTGGGGGCAGAAAGAAAAGGGCTTAAAAAACACCCGTAAAAGGAGTAATTTTGTAATTATGATTTTTAGCAAAACAGCAGAAGAAGTAGCAAACAGCAGGCGTCACAAAGCAAACCAATTTGAAATCTCACCCGACCAATAATAATAATTCTTTTCCAAGAATATTTGTTTCATGAAGAATTACGGATCGGTCGCAGCGATTAAAACGGAATCCCGCAAAGCGAGTGTAATAAACACAGCTGAAATTATTTTCATTTTCAAAACAACTTTTTGAAGAGCTGTTAAAATTACGATATTTTCTTTTTATGGGAAAGTAATAATCGCAATAATGATAATGATAATAATAATAGTTTTGGCCATTTTGTTTTTGATCTCGTGTTAGTCGAATCGAACGCTCATTCGATTCGAGAAAGAGAATTAGAGAAAAGGAGGGGAAAAGGGAGAAAGAGAAAAAAAAGAAATAGAGATAGAGAAAAGGGGAAAGAGAAAAAAGAGAGAAAGAGAAAAAGAGAGAAATAGAGATTTTCTGATGAGAATATGAGGCCATCTTGTTAAAACGATTGGTTCTAAGGGATAGAGAGATAATATTTCTTTGTTCCCGAAGAGAGAAGAAAAGCAGTTCGACTATAGTGAAATTGATTTGCAGCGGGTTGGTGACCCTCGTGTCGCCGATGGCGTACAACAACGAGGACGACGAAGAGAGAGAGTGGAGAGAGAGAGAGAGAGAAAGAGAGAGAGAGCGTCGGGTTCTCACACCCCCGCGCTTTCAGCTTCCACCTTCCAACAAACCTTCCCCCTTTTTGCTTTCTGTGTATACTCATACTGCAACCAAGCAAGCAATCGATACAGTTGGCCCAGACTTTTCCATGCATAACCATCTTGCTACTTACTTTTCATTTACTTAGGATTTAACGCCTACATTTTTTAATCTATTATATAGTCTATAAGGATTGGCCATTTGCCTCGTGGCATTTAGCCAAAGGATAGACGGCAAATAATAATAATATAAGATCCAGAACACAACATTTTTATACCATCCTCTTAATACCAATTTTCCTCTAAATTTCGCCGTGTCAAATTTCCAAATCACATTTCTCAGACGGGGTGTGTTTATCCCAGAGAAAAAATTTTGGTTCAATTTTTGCGGAATGATTAAAAAAAATTTGTAGAATTTTAATAGAATGATATCAAGAGTACAACTCTATTTTCTTTTTTGAATTTCGCGCCTAAAAGTTCTTTAAATTCCCGTCTAGATGGCATGAAAGTTCTCTCATAAACGAAATGAAGCAAATCTTAGTGTTGTTGTTATTACAAAAATAATTTTAATTTACTATTATTATTATTATCATTACTATTATTTACAATAATTAATATTTATTATTAAAATCGTTCATTGATTATTAATTTATTAATTAATTATTTAATTACCGAATGATAAATTCATTTCCTTTGATTATTAATTTACTTCAGTAGTTTAATAACTGAATTATTAATTTTATTCCTTAGTATTGTAATTACTAAAGTGATCATTTTAAGGGCCCTAGAGACTTATTTTCATTAAATAAATAATATAATAAATAAATAATTTTCTAATTATTAATTAGAAAAGCTGTGTAAATAAAGTAATAAAATATAAATAGATAATTATATAAAGTAAATAATAAATAAATAATTCAATAAAGTTTTCTGCCTAAAACTGAATTAGTGAATTTACAATATTTTTTACTAAAGTCTTATAGTAGAATGATAACTAAAAATTGATTCAAAATTCTTAGTAAACTGTTTGTAAAGAAACAGCTGTAACTCAGTTAAAAAAAAAGTTTTACCAAAATGTTCAGTAAAAAATTATCCACACTTAGTTAAAATACCAAAATTTGTACAAAAGTTTTAATAAACATGACTAAAACTTAGTTGTAATTTTTTACTGAAGTTTTAATAAAAATTGACTGAAACTAAGTTGAAAATTTTTACTAAAATTCAAGAAAAAAAATCACTAAAACTTAGTTTAAAATTAACTATATTAATATTAATTAATTAACTAGAATAATTTGAATGTTCTTTCATTCATTCACTTTTTCTGTCCCTCACACTCTGAAGTTGTCTTTTGTTTTTTTTTAACTTTAGATAGATTGTATATTATATTATAGTTATATTTTTTTTTTTTATTATATAATTAATTCAAAATTGTAATGACAAATAGAAATCATCAGAATTTTTTTCACTTCTTTTCATTAAAAGACTAAAATTTTGTTAAATAGGTATTATGTTTTGTCAAATTTAAATTATGCTGATTTTTGTTCTTTACTTCTAAACAAAATTAGAAAATTGTTAAACAACTGTGATTAAGAAATAGAAAATTTATTTATTTTGCACTATTTTTGTTTATGAAACAAAATTTTTTTAACAAAATTATTATTTTGTTTTAGAAAAGGAAGAAAAATATTTGCACAATTTATATTTTTAATCCTATTTTTGGAACAGGATTTTCCACAAGAATTAAGACTCGGAGTGAATTAAAAATGACCGAGAGATAAAATCATTATTTTATATCATAAGAATAATGTTACTGTAACTTCATCAAAATTATTTTCATCATTTTAATATTAATTCAATTATTAATTTATTATTTTCTAGAATTTAAAATTATTTTTTATGAAAATAATTGAATTCCTTAAAAATATTTTATTACTTATGAAAATAATTCAATTTCTGTGGAATTTTTATTATTTATAAAAATAATCAAATGTTTGCATACAATTTTCTTAAATTTTTTTTTTTAAATAATTGTATTCTATTTGGAAAATTTTATTAAAATAGTAGATATTGAAAATCATTGAAATTAGAAAAATGCATTTTATTTTTGAAAATAATTGAAATTCGGACAAGAATTTTTTTTTTGACATTTATGAAAATAATTGAACTTTAGAGAAGAATTTTGTTTATTTATAAAGATAATTGGGATTTTTACAATAATTTTTTTTCAAATTTTGAACATAGTTGAATTTTATAAGAAGAATTTTATTCTTTTTTTGAAAATAATTAAATTTCTGCAATTATTTGTAATTTCTTTAAAATTGAATTTTTTATTTTTATTTTATTTAAAAAAAGGCAGTAAGAAGTTATTTTAAAGTTATTTTAAATTTTCAGTAAAAAATGACTAAAATTTAGTTAGAAATTTTTACTAAACTTTTGGTAAAAAATAGCTAACACTTAGTAGAAATAATTCTAAAGTGCAGCTCAATTTTTACTAATTTGAATTTAAAGAAAGATCACCTTTTTTATTATATAATCTTATTCTTTAATACTTAAAAATATTTTTCAAAAAGAATTCTGTCAATTCTTTAGTTTACTTTAACTTTTAAAGAAAAAAAAGTTCCATAAGTTACAAAAATTCGCAAAAGACTCTTAAAAACTTTTCCTTGCTTCTCAGAAAGAAAATTCCAGAAAATTTTTGACGTTTTCTAAAATTTATTTTTGAAGCAGAAAAAAAACTGTTTTTCTAAAAAGTTTTCGAAAACTTAAAGTTTGGACATTGAAATCAAAGAGTACATAGAGTAAGAGTTGTAAAAACTCTTTGTTTTATTTGTTACGATATTTTTTGCTCACTGCTATCTTTCTCTCTCTCCCTCTTCTTTTTCTCTAAATCCGACGAAGTTAAAAATAACAAATTTTTCAGTAAAATCTTGTCTGATATTTTCTATTTTTTCTTTTTTCTATTATTCAAAATTCAGTGAAAAATACAATAATTAAAAGAAAAGTTTATTTATTCAATAGTGAACTAATATCATAAATATTAAATGTTTGTTAAAACAATTCAATATTTTTATAATATATATACATCAAAATAGAAAATAGAAAAAAAAATTATTTCCTAAATTAAATTATTCAAAAAAAAAAAAAAATAATTATCAATAATTGTACCGTCTAATTTCCCCCCAAAAAATGTGAATCAGCGGCTCAATTTACAATTTTTAGAGAGTACGTATCTACTTATATGAATTTTCCATCCGCAACTTGTTGAGAGAATGAGGCAAAAAATAAAGGATTTCAAAAAGCAATTACATGACAAAATGAAGAAATTAGTGAAACAACACTCGATTATGAATAATGTATAATAACTTTATAATAGCGACAGAAATTGTGTCACTTTTCTTGAGGAAAGAGGAAGCAAAAAAAAAAGAAAAAAAGAAAAAAATAGCAGCCAACGCGAGTTAGTTTAGCCTCAAGAAAGCGAAAACCTGCGCGTGGACATAATAGCGATCTTGTGATAACTGCGCCGAGACGGATCGACACGATAATTATATACAATTAGAATGGTCAGTGTTTTGCTAAGTTTGCGCTAATAGGAAGTTTCTTGTTAATCGTAAAGAAGATAAATGCCTCGACAAAGTTCTCTCTCTATTTATCCGTCTCTATCTCTCTCTCCCTCTATTTCTCTCTATTTTTTTGTCTCTCTCCCTCCCTTTTTCTCTCTTTCCCCCCTCTCTTTCTCTTTATTTTATGTCACTCTTTCCCCCCTCTTTCTTTCTGTTTTTTGTTTTTCTTTCCCCCCCTATTTCCCTCTCTTTTTCTCTCTATTTTTTGTCTTTCTTTTCCCCTCTCTTTCTCTCTATTTTTTATCTTTCCCCCTCTCTTTATCTCTATTTTTGTCTCTCTCCCTCTCTTTTTCACTATTTTTTGACTCTTTTTCCCCCTCTCTTTCTCTCTTTTTTCTCTCTCTCTCTTGTTCTTAATTCTCATGGAAAAATTATAATGACTAATTATTTAATTTGGTTATTATTAAATAAACTATTATTATTAAATTATTTAACCTAGAAAATAGAAAAATTTCGTTTTTTAACCTGGAAAACGTGGAAAAGTCGGGGAAACCAGAACTGTAGCACTTTTAGAATACTATTGGTAATAATTATTAATAAATTATTATTATTATTATTATTATTATTATTATTATTATTATTATTATTATTATTATTATTATTACTAGTGATATAATTATTGATCATAAGCAACAAAAAAACAAAACGAAATCGACGAGCAGTGCTACTTCGCCTCGTTTGCGAGAGAACTTTCATGCCATCTGGACGGCAACCTCCAGAAGTATAATGGCGCGAAATTCAAATTGTATTCAAACACAAAAGTTCAAAATTAGTAAAAAATAAAAATACGTCTAAAGTCTAAAAACAGTCAACACTCGGAATTTTTTTCTTAGACTTTTGCTACAAAATTTTTTATTTTGTTTCTCCCTTGGTCAATTTTGATAAGAAGAGAGCAAATTTTGCAAGTGGAAAAGTTTCTCGATAATTATTTTCAGATTATAAACGTTCATTAAACTATCAGTAATATTGCGAATTCTGTTAAAGATCCGATTTAGATAAAGAAAGACCATTAAATTTTTTTTTAATGTCGATGGAAGAGGGCGGGATAAAAAAAAAGTCGTTAAAGCAAGAGAGAAGGTAAATAATAACAATTAAATAAGGATTAAAATTTTGAGAGAGTGAGAGAGAGAGAGAGTGGACTGATTGGATCGTATGATCATTAGTGAAGTCAATGTATATATGTATCCTGGTAAGGGATCAGCATATCGTGTGTTGGTTAAGTTGAACGGTGGATAGTGAGCAAAACTGCTAATCCAGCTTTACGAGGTAGATAATATCGAGCTTTGTGTACCGAGTGGAGAGTGGAAGACGAAGGACGATAATTCTCCTTGGATATCCAATAAGCAAGGAAAGCGCTTGCCAAGTGCCACGATCGAAGATTATACCAGAGAGAGAGAGAGAGAGAGAGAGAGAGACTGTCTACCGCACATACCCCTTGTCAAGTGTATGGTGTATCATGGGAAACTCTCTCTCTCTCTCTCTCTCTCCCTTCTTTTATGCTC